ATCCAAACTTAAATTTTTATAATTCATGAACGAAAACATTTTGTAACATGATATTGATGTACCATTTTCATGGTAATGCAATGTCTGATTTTAAAATGGGTTTCAAAGGATGAATTTTGAGATTTAAAGTTTTCAATTGATATATAATGTCTGATGATTTCTAAAGTGTGATGGAGAAAAAGGCAACGAAGAAGACTTTTTTTTTGACAAAGGTCAGAACTCCTGTTACGATGTAGATTTTTGAGGTGCACTCTTGTCAAAAATTAATCTATTACTTTTCCTACATAATTTTTAACAAAAACATTGGTAAAATATCTATTTAGGAGTCTTAGACCTTTCCAACGATATATAGTTAGTCATGATTAGATTAGAATTTAATTGTAATATATTGAAGTAAACTTAGGCGTCCCACAGAGGGGACGGGTGACAGTTAAAGGGTTTTAAAACAATACAGACAGTATTGAACACTGTCCAAATATACATTGCTATCAGTGGAACCAATTCATATTTAGTTAATTTCCTGGACAATTTGTCACCTACAAGTATTAGTGATATTTTAGTAGCTTTGAGATACTATTTTAGTTTGTATTACTATTTTGAATTAATGTCTTTGAAGGCACTCAAGAAGTAATCCCTTTATTTATTTATACTTTATGTTTTGTTACTGTTGTGTGAATACTTCTATATTTATGTATAATCATTATGGATTCTTTTATTTCTATATTTATTTTTATTGAGTCGTTGTGTTGGGATAGAAATTAATAGTTAGAAAATGAGAAAAAATGAATGCCTTTGGAAGTGCTTTTGTTACTGAACAATTTCACGTTTTGATAAAAATAAATAAAAATATTTTGTAATGAATTTTTATCTTTTAAAACTTATTTTAAGTTTTAGTAATTTTGTTGTGTTTTTTTGGCAGTTTTATTAGTTTTTTTGTAAATGTCTATACAGTTTCTATTAATTTCTATCTGTTTTAGTACATCAAGTTCTAAGTCAAAGCTTCATTTCAGCTAAATTAATTAGTTGTTAATTAAGTAAAATGATTTGTTTTTATTTTAACAATTTAAGTTTTTTTTTTTATTTCAAGTAATGAAAATTAATTTTTATGGTTTTAGTTTTAGTTGACTGTAATATCCCTGACCATTACACTGCAATGTGTTTGTTACTCTTTTTCTTTTATTTCAAATCGTTTGCATACAAATAAAATAATTTTTCTTTCAATTCATTTTTCGAAATTCCTAAAGAAATCTATGGCTTAAGTTCTTTTCCACAATTTTAGGACTACAACCTGAACAACTTCTCATTAAAATAATGACACAATCTTAACGGTCCTACAATACACTTCATTTTCACATTCTTATTTCTTTTTCATATTGGTTTAAAATGCAACTTGTGAGATTAAACCCAGAATATTGGCCTTTTAATATTCATTTTACTATGTAAAGCGCTCTGAATTACTGCTGTGCATGAAATGAACTATACAAATAATCTTGCCTTTCCTTAATTTCTGAAGGCAGGTTTCATGGCTTTCCAGCTGCACGGCGGGATGTGAAAACCCTCGGACAAACCTGCACCTGATCTGAGCTCTGAGCATTTCACACTGCTGACCAGCGCCATTATGTTTCATAGATGTTCACCCGGAGCAGTAGAGGGACTTGCGCAGGGAATGACTATATTTATCAGCAGTGGCGATAAGTCATAAAGATGCAGCGCTGTGCAAAGGACTCCTGGCAGCTGTCATTTTGTGGCTGAATGAGAAAAATTGGTGTAGCGTGAGGCCACCGGTGGCGACAGTTGAATACTTCCACTGCTTACGAAGTCACTTCCACATCCAGATGGAGACTCGGGCTGCCGGCACAGGACTCCCAGCATGCATCATTCACATGGTACGGCGATCTCTGCACACAATGCCACAGTTTTTGCAAAAAAAAAAGGCTCCCTAGCTAATGTTGAGAATGAGGTTTGCCATCTGGTTACTGGTGGAAAAAGAAGGGTGAACAAAGCCTAATCTAGCACCCGCTGTGTGGGTTTTTGTAAATGCCAAGTCTGCCCAATCCCATACGTCAAAGCATTGCTTAAACTCTGTGACAATGCTTTTCTTCAGACAAAAACGACAAGATCAGGCTAGTGAGATGCTTTCACAGTGTGTGATACCCAGAAGACAAATGAGTTTTGATCTTTCTAATGCCGAGTTCACACTGCACGATTTTCAAAGACGTCGCATCACTGTTGGTTTCACACTGAACAGCTATCTTGGGTAGCATTCAGTTGTTGCAGTGTTCACACTGCACGATGGAACGACGACAGGAGGTTACACACTGCATGACTTTACAATAGGAAGAATCGCCGACAGCTCTGTCTGGTGCAGGGTTGCCAGGTTTTAGCTACAAAACCCGCCTAATTACTACTCAAAACTAGCCTGAAAATAGCCCAATTGCTTTCGAGGGGGTCCTTGTGCCAATTATCCAAGGGGATGGATAATGTGGTGGCCGATGCCCTTTCCAGGGTTTAACAAGTGGGTAGAGTTTTTTTCTTTTCTTCTGTGTACAAACATTAAATGTGTTATTTTAATGGTGGGGGTGTTACGTGACAGCGTTTAGTGCTCCCCCCCTCCCTCCCTCCCTTTTGTTATTGGTAGTTTTTGCTAATGTTTTGTTTCTTTGTCTCTCTACTCGTTGCTGTCTTTCTCCTTTAGGCTTTGCCATTGGCTGGCTGGGCTGTCTGTCAGGATCTGCATATCTGTGACAGCCAATCACGAATGACGGCTTGGAAATAAAATGGACAATACGTTGACTTCTAAAGGCAATGTTTATAATGTCTATTAGATTAATTGTCTGACACAAACTATATGCTAATGTCTTTCAATTATAATCATTTTGGGACAAATATTGATATGCAGTTACTCAAAATAATAATGTGATTCAATTTAATTGAATTTGTAATTGACTGTCTACCCTAAAATGAAAATAATTAAATACTCATTGAGTGTTGAATACGTTTTGATTATTTTAAACTAGAGATGAATCTGTTTTTGTTCAATTAAATGAAACATTTCAATCACCTTTTAAGCCATTTAGTAAGCAAATTTAATCACCAAAAATAAAATAGCAATACATACACAACTTTTCAAAATTTTAGGATCAGTAATTAGTTTTTTGTTTTAATATATTTATACGTAAGAATTTTAATATATTTATTCAGCAAGGATGCATTAATTTGATTAAAAGAAACAGTCAAGACTTTTGCAGTGTTACAAAAGCTTTCTATTTCAAATAAATTCTGTTCTTTTGAACTCCTATTCATCAAAGAATCCTGAAAAACTAAATGTATCCGATTCCGAAAAGGTTACAAAAAGCTTTCTATTTCAAATAAATTCTGTTCTTTTGAACTCCTATTCATCAAAGAATCCTGAAAAACTAAATGTATCCGATTCCATAAAAATATGAAGCAGTACAGTTGTTTTAAATATTGATAATAATAATACATTTTTCGAGCAGCAAATCAGCATATTAGAATGATTTCTGAAGGATCATGTGACACAAAATTCAGCTTTGCATCACAAAAATAAATTACATTTTAAAATATATTACAATAGAAAACAGTTATTTTAACTTGTAATAATATTTCACAGTATTGCTGTTTTTACGGTAATTTTAATCAAATAAACGCAGCCTTGGTGAGCATAAAATACTTTTTTTTAAAAATATATTTAAAATGTAAAATACATATAAATACATAAAAAAAAACAAAAAAAACTTAAAACTCTTTCTGACTCCAAACTTTTTGAACAGTAGTGTAAATACTAGTCTTGAATATTATCAAAAATATACCGAAAAACATCACCCAGCCCTGGCCAGCGTCATATGTTGGAACTAAAAGACACTTTCATTTTCATAATATAGTTATGTGAGATTTCGTTTGATCAAAGGATAAAGACGATCAACCCACCACTCTTAGTCAGGGCCAGCCTGCTGGGTTTCTCGGTTGTGTCTGTGATTTTGGCCATGTCGTTGTTGTTGTGTGTTAGTGTATCTCCTTGCTGTGTTTCACCAGATCCTGATTTCTCAACAGAGAGATCATCTCCTCCGTCTCCACCTTCAGTAGCTTTCACGTCCTCTCTCAGAGCCTCACCTCCCCAGTTTTCCCCTTCGTTCTCCGCTCCGGACTCTTCTCCCAGCTCCGGCTCCTCCAGGGGACTGGGACTGGCCGTCAGCCCAGAGCCGTGCAGCGAGCTGGGGCTGGAGTGCAGGGAGAGGGAGGGTTCCTCTGGTTCTCCGTGCCGTAGCACGTGTGGGCGTAGGCCAGCTGGCTCCTGGATGAAGCCCACAAACACGATGCCCTGATCCGCAGCGTCCTGGATCTGCTGAGAAGAGAGAGATATATTTTGCTCACCAGTTTAGACAACATGAATTTCCGTGCTGGTCTGGTTTATTCTGCTTAAACAATAAGATTGTTTATTGTAGCCGACAATAAACAGCTTGAAATCCTTAAGCCACTTCCTCATGTGCTCTGAGAACAAAACAAGCACGCCAGTCATTAACATATGAAAAGCCTTCTCACACAAGACAGAATTGCAGCTCTGAATTATCAATTAAATTTGACAAATTATTGTCTATATATGTGGGAAAAGAATTACTGTTCAAAAGTTTGGAACGATTTGGAACGAAAATGTTGTTTTGTTTTTAAAACGATTTTTTTTTTTAAATATGAGAAATATTATTCCAACTCAAAATAGCTGTTTTCTATTTGAATATACGTTAAAATGTCATTTATTCCTGTGATGCAAAGCTGAATTTTCAGCATCATTATTCCAGTCTTCAGTGTCACATGATCCTTCAGAAATCATTCTAATATGCTGATTTGCTGCTCAAGAAACATTGCTGATTATTATGTTAATCTTATTATTATTTCTTATTATAAATTATAAATATGTTGAAAACAGTTTAATAATAAATTGTTTTCAACATAATTAATATTAATTGCTTGATATTTTTGTGGAAATCTTGATGCAACTTCATAATAACTTCATAATAACTACCCTTTAAAATTGGGAGTAAGATTAAGAAGAAATTAATACTTTTATTCAGCAAGGACACATCAAGTTGATCAAAACTGACAGTAAAAACATTTTATAATGTTAAAAAATTTTATAAAAAAAAAAAAATGCTGTTCATTAGTACTTTCTGTTCATCAAAGAATCCTGAAAAAAATGCATCATGATTTCCACAAAAAACAAACAAACAGAAAAAACTGTTTTGCAACACTGATAATAATTAGAGCCATTATCAATAAGCAATAATAATAATTTAGCCACAAGATTTCTGAATGATCATGTGACACTGAAGACTGGAGTATAGTTTTTAAATTGTAAAAATATTTCAAAATATTACTGTATTTTCAATCAAATACATGCAAGCCTTGGCGAACATCAGAGACTTTTTTTATTTTTATTTTTTTATATTAATTATTCCAATCGTTGACCGGTAGTGTACATCCTCCAAATATGACATTACATGGTTTACTGGGCCTTCATATTTTTCGATTTGATTTCTGTAGGTCTTGTTGTTGGTCCAGCTAAGCAGATCTTTTGAAAATCGCATCTTTTATGATGTTATTAATGTTAGGCACAATTTGTCAACATGGACGAGCAGATAAACCTCTCACAGCCCCGAGGGCTTTGCGTAGCATCGTGTTTGTGTTGTTGAATGAGATAAGAAGTTTCATTTCAAAAAAGTAGTTTAATTCATTTCCAGTTTCCTCATTGGAGGAACATTAAAACGGTTGATATGCCACATTACCCTAACAATAAAACGCAGTTCAAAACAATATATTGCAAAAGCTGCGTTCTTTCGTTCTTTCTTCCACACCATCAGCTATTTGAAATTAGCAAGCGCTGATTACAATGGCAACGGTCCACCATCGACTGCCCTCTGCATCCCGAATCAGTCGAACATCTACCACTTTATTGTCAGTTCGCGTTTGGAAGCCAATATTTGAATTCTCATCAAACCAAATTGAATCGTTAACTGTCAAGGAATGCTAATGATGCCATTTTCCATTATGCTGCTTTAATAAAGGCCAGCCTGAGGCCTGCCAGCACTATCTCCATCTGACGCCTTCGCCCACACCAGCCCAATCAGTTTCCGTGAGGTGCACAGGTTATTTTCTCTAAAATTAAACCGGGAACAGGCCCGTCCTTTCCAGTCGCATTGTTTAATGCGTATTGAACGCTGACGCCGGGAGTCCTGGCATTATATTTGCAACAATGATGCAAATGAAATTGCATAGATAAGAAGCCATTTTTTCTCGCCGGGCTCCTCCGTCGGTGAAGGGGCACTGAATAATTTCCGAGTTTGATGTGACGGGGGGGAAGGATCATTGTCGTGATGGATCATGGCGATTAATTGCGCCCGGATGTGTGCCGCAGACGCACCTCAACAGGTCTGTGATCTCCAAGAAGTATATAGACACTTACAGGGAGAGTTCAGACGAAAGTTTGGGGTCGGTAAGATTTGTAAATGTTTTTTAAAAGTCTCTTACGCTCACTAAGGCAGCATTTATTTGATCAAAATACAGTAAACATTGTGAAATATTATTACAATTTAAAATAACAGTTTTTTTATTTTAATATATCTTAAAACGTAATTTACTTCTGTGATCAAAGCTGAATTTCAGCCAATTTAAACGTCATTTGTCTTTTTTTGACTATTGTCCAAATACTTTTTCGTGTTATAGAACAAAGAACTCTTTACAAATATTACCATCAAAATACCATAGTGACTGTGGTATTTTGCATTATGGACAACTTTACAGAAAGATCCTGAAAGCATCTTACATGGTTTTAAGGTGTTGCCATATTAATTTACGATTTTGTAGTGGTCACAATTGCTATGTTCCAGAACCTAGTGTGCTTCCTACATAGGCAGCATTTTAAAGCATCATAGACACACAAAGGTTGTTCCAAAAGAAGGATTATGCTGCCTTTTATAAGGCCTTCTTTTGCAATATTGTTTTTATAATTATTTTTATTTTCGAGAATTAATGTAATTATTTGTACTGAGATAATTTTTTTTTTTTTTTTACAATTTTAATCTCTCTCTAGCCAACCCAGAAAAGACTGCCTTAGAAGAAATTAATTAAACTGTTGCAGTCATTAAAAATAATAAATAAAAAAAAACATAAGAAACAAAAATGAAAAGATCAGTAGTAATAATTAAACAAAAACCTTAAAATGAAACTAGAGACGAATATAGTTAATAAATACCACAATCACAGATATCAGAGTTTATTTAATTAGGCTCGGTTATATTCTATATATATTCCATATTCTAAAGCGGCACTGCATATATCCTTCATGAAGGAGTCGATCCCATAGTGCATTGCAACAAGCTCAGTGAAACAAATCCATTTAATATCTACCTTACATGCAGTAAACAGCAGGGCAGATAAGTTTCAGGCAGAACTGATAACTCTAGTAAGTTTTGGCAGAAATGTTTGGCAACATTTTAATATGTGTGAGCAGATTTGAATATTCATGACTCAGTTATGTGCTCCAAAGAAGCTAAACAGTAGGTTCTTACTTTCTTCACATATCCTTGGATGTGCTCTGTGGTGGGAATCTGGTCTGCAGACATGCATTCCTCCAGTTTGAGATGGTAAGGCTCAAAGTCTGCCGGATTCTTCTCCCAGCTGAAGAGAGAGAGGGGGGAACACCGATTTAATGTCAAACGTACCACTCTTAAACAGGTGCAGAGCAGCGATATATCACCGACAAACTTGAAAAAGTTCATTTTAGCAACCTGATTATACATAACGTCAGTGAGAAGATGGAGAACATCTGTTCACAAGGTTTATTATTGGAAACATTTTGCACAGCGTTGGCAAGAAATGAGCGCTAGAAAGACACATTTGCACTAAATGAGCAGGTGTAATACTTGAGTTCTGCTTTCTGTCTCTGAGGTGATTTCCTTGGGCATTGTTAAAGGTGAAGTGTGTCGTTTATTCGATGTTAAAATACTTTCAATCCCAGTTTAATATGTAGAGTCAACTGTAAGTAAAATACTTGTAGGTTTAGTAAAGTCTCCCTGCTCGCTCTCAAAAAAAAGGTACAAAAGCTTTCAGTGGGGCATTACCCTTTCAAAAGGCACTAATGTGTATCATTTGGGAACTAATATGCATCTTTATATATATAAGAATAGTTCACCCAAAAAATTAAAACCTGCTGAAAATTTACCCTCAGACCATCCAAGGTGTAGATGAGTTTGCTACTTCGTCAGAAACATCATTCCATCACTTTCTCACCAGTGGAGCCTGTGCAGTGAATGGGTGCCGTCAGATTGAGAGTCCAAACAGCTGATAAAAACATCACAATAATCCACACCACTCCAGACCATCAGTTAACATCTTGTGAAGAGAAAAGCTGTGTATTTGTAAGAGACAAATTGATCATTAAGGTATATTTAACTATAAACCGTTGCTTCTAAGTTCAAGTCTATAATGCATAATAATATGTAATCATAAAACAGTCTGAAACAGCTCTAAACAAATCTGCTGGTGGATTTTGAAGTGAGAGTACAATAGGAGATGGACTTTTTCACTGGAGGAAGTGTTATTATGGATTATGGACTCATAGTTTGGCCAGAAGTTTAATGTTAAAACACCTTAATGATGGATTAGTTTCTTACAAACACACAACTTTTCACTTCACAAGACGTTAATTGTTGGACTGGAGTGGTTTGGATTACAGGCATTACCCTTTCAAAAGGCACTAATGTGTATCATTTGGGAACTAATATGCATCTTTATATATATAAGAATAGTTCACCCAAAAAATTAAAACCTGCTGAAAATTTACCCTCAGACCATCCAAGGTGTAGATGAGTTTGCTACTTCGTCAGAAACATCATTCCATCACTTTCTCACCAGTGGAGCCTGTGCAGTGAATGGGTGCCGTCAGATTGAGAGTCCAAACAGCTGATAAAAACATCACAATAATCCACACCACTCCAGACCATCAGTTAACATCTTGTGAAGAGAAAAGCTGTGTATTTGTAAGAGACAAATTGATCATTAAGGTATATTTAACTATAAACCGTTGCTTCTAAGTTCAAGTCTATAATGCATAATAATATGTAATAATAAAACAGTCTGAAACAGCTCTAAACAAATCTGCTGGTGGATATTGGTGGAGAGTACAATAGGAGATGGACTTTTTCACTGGAGGAAGTGTTATTATGGATTATGGACTCATAGTTTGGCCAGAAGTTTAATGTTAAAACACCTTAATGATGGATTAGTTTCTTACAAACACACAACTTTTCACTTCACAAGACGTTAATTGTTGGACTGGAGTGGTTTGGATTACAGGTGCATCTCAATAAATTAGAATGTCGTGGAAAAGTTCATTTATTTCAGTAATTCAACTCAAATTGTGAAACTCGTGTATTAAATAAATTCAATGCACACAGACTGAAGTAGTTTAAGTCTTTGGTTCTTTTAATTGTGATGATTTTGGCTCACATTTAACAAAAACCCACCAACTCACTATCTCAACAAATTAGAATACTCCATAAGACCAATAAAAAAAAACATTTTTAATGAATTGTTGGCCTTCTGGAAAGTAGAATTGGTGGGTTTTTGTTAAATGTGAGCCAAAATCATCACAATTAAAAGAACCAAAGACTTAAACTACTTCAGTCTGTGTGCATTGAATTTATTTAATACACGAGTTTCACAATTTGAGTTGAATTACTGAAATAAATGAACTTTTCCATGACATTCTAATTTATTGAGATGCACCTGTACTTGTGGATTATTGTGATGTTTTTATCAGCTGTTTGGACTCTCATTCTGACGGCACCCATTCACTGCAGAGGATCTATATAGCTGAGCATGTGATGTAATGCTAAACTTCTCCAAATCTGTTCTGATGAAGAAACAAACTCATTTACGTCTTGGATGGCCTGAGGGTAAGTACATTTTCAGCAGATTTTCATTTTTGGGTGTACTATTTCTTTAAGATACTAATATGCAACCTTTAGGAGTAAAAAAGTACAAAGATGAACCGTTTAAAATGCACCACTCCAGTGACAGCTTTTGTATCTTTTTTGTTCTTTCTGAGAGTGTGGTGTTGGACTCGACCAATGGCATGTGTTGGGGGCGTGGTTATCTCTTTATTATTATGAGTGATCCAAACTCAAAAGCTCTTTTTTTTCTTTCTCCAGAGGAACCATGCAGAGATCCCTGTGAGGAGCTGATCTCAGGGACACCCATTCCAGCGTCTTCTCTTCCCATCTTCTGTGTGCATGTGACATTTGGGACAGAGATTAAACCCACTAACCCAGAGCTCTATCCAACCACAAAGTCGCAGCGCAGCAGGGCCCTGACTCACCTCTGTCATACACACACACACACATGAATTCACACTTCCCGCCAACACACGGCCATCTGCTGCCTGAACACATTCCCCTCATGGTGTTCCTGCAGCACGTACGACTGGATCCTGCAGTCTGGCTTTTAACATGAAGATAAACAAATCTGAGCAGCGTATGAGCGGCAGAATGAAAGGCCTGTCTATTTAACAAGTTAATTTAGTGTGATTAACAATAATGAAAAAGGAAAAACATGCTTTCTTGCAATTAATCATGGCCCCTGACATGTTGGTGAATTTTGTAATGTAAATAAGGAGATTTCCTACCATCTGAGCAATTGCGAGCTTGCAGTCCTGTAACCACTTGTGATAACACACAAAAAAGCAAAAAGCTGGCTTTCAAATATACTTCAAATTGCAATCTCACTACAAACATGACATCTTGAGCTGAATGCACTTTTTTTTTCCAAGATTTTTCAAGCTCCCTAAGTTTGGGTTCAATCCAATTTTGCATTAATGCATTAAATTGATCAAAACTGAAACAGAAAGCATTTATATACAAAAGATATGTATTTCAAATTAATCCAAATCTCAAAAATCTCAAATAAATCTCAAAATCCAGCTTCGCATCACTAGAATAAATTACATTTTACAATATATTAAAATAAAACATGGTTATTTTAAAATGTAATAACATTTTATAATATTACTTTTTTTCCACTGTATTTCTGATCAAGTAAATGGAGCCTTGGTGAGCTTTTTTTCCCCCAAATAAACATAGCAAATTAAAAAAAAAACTTTTTATAACCCAGTACATGTTTGTAGGTGGATCTTTTAAAAGATGTAGGTGTAGGTGGACAAATTAAAATTTTGGAATGTTTTGGAAACTTTTTTTCTAATCCGTTTGATATTTTACTGACCACATGTTATAGTCAAGTCAAGTCACCTTTATTTATATAGCGCTTTTAACAAATACACACACACACACATGAATTCACACTTCCCGCCAACACACGGCCATCTGCTGCCTGAACACATTCCCCTCATGGTGTTCCTGCAGCACGTACGACTGGATCCTGCAGTCTGGCTTTTAACATGAAGATAAACAAATCTGAGCAGCGTATGAGCGGCAGAATGAAAGGCCTGTCTATTTAACAAGTTAATTTAGTGTGATTAACAATAATGAAAAAGGAAAAACATGCTTTCTTGCAATTAATCATGGCCCCTGACATGTTGGTGAATTTTGTAATGTAAATAAGGAGATTTCCTACCATCTGAGCAATTGCGAGCTTGCAGTCCTGTAACCACTTGTGATAACACACAAAAAAGCTGGCTTTCAAATATACTTCAAATTGCAATCTCACTACAAACATGACATCTTGAGCTGAATGCACTTTTTTTTTTCAAGATTTTTCAAGCTCCCTAAGTTTGGGTTCAATCCAATTTTGCATTAATGCATTAAATTGATCAAAACTGAAACAGAAAGCATTTATATACAAAAGATATATATTTCAAATAAATCCAAATCTCAAAAATCTCAAATAAATCTCAAAATCCAGCTTCGCATCACTAGAATAAATTACATTTTACAATATATTAAAATAAAACATGGTTATTTTAAAACCAGGCTGCAGCAAAGTCACATTGTGCACAGGACTCAACTGGTTCCTGTGGTCTGTTATGAGATAACCTGAGATCCTACCCATACTTGGATCGCTATTAAAACACGAGGAAGAAAATGTGAGAAGCAGGAGACCTCAGCTTTCTATTTCTCCACTTCTCCATTTGCTCTCCATTTGAACTCAATTGAATGATTTTAAGAAATGAAATTTCTGTTTAGTGTGAAAGTGACGTGACATGTGGCCAAGTATGGTGACCCATACTTGGAAATTAAAATAAAACATGGTTATTTAAAATGTAATAACATTTTATAATATTACTTTTTTTCCACTGTATTTCTGATCAAGTAAATGGAGCCTTGGTGAGCTTTTTTTCCCCCAAATAAACATAGCAAATTAAAAAAAAAACTTTTTATAACCCAGTACATGTTTGTAGGTGGATCTTTTAAAAGATGTAGGTGTAGGTGGACAAATTAAAATTTTGGAATGTTTTGGAAACTTTTTTTCTAATCCGTTTGATATTTTACTGACCACATGTTATAGTCAAGTCAAGTCACCTTTATTTATATAGCGCTTTTAACAAAACAGATTGTGTCAAAGCAACTTTACAGCATCTGTACATTCACTCCCCCCACCTACAATCCCTGCCGGTACGAGACTCGAACCCGCAACCTTTGGGTTGCGAGTCCGACTCTCTAACC